CAGTCAGGGGCTCCCTCATTCCTGGGTGCAGAAGGGTTTCTCTTTGCAAGCAAAGAAGGGGCTGTCAGGAGCCATAGAGAGAGATAGGAGCAGGGGTTTGTTTCTAGGGATAGTCAAAGCATTTATTTTTCTCCCCCCCCAGCTTCCACTCACTGCCTCCATCCTAATACAGTATTTTTCCAGAAACTCTACTTTGTGCGAGATGCAGCATCCTTACCAGGGACAAGTGAAGTGCCAGCCAGCAAACACAAGCAAGTATGAAAAGCCTCCTTCAAGCGAGACACCGCTTCCAAGACATACTTGAAAACACTTGCATATTTTTTTCCCCTTCAATGGAAGTCTATTTAATCCTCCAGCTGCTAAACAACCCAATCTGTGGTGCACAGCGAGCTCTGGAAGGAAACCTCCCCATCACTGAAACTCAGTTTTGTTCCACTGGAAGGAGAAACTCAACAGCTTCACATGGGCCACCAGGGATGGGGACAGTGGCTCCATAGCATGAAATACCCACAGCACAGGCGAAGTGCCCGCCACGCTCTGAAGGCTGGAGCAAGCAGAGCTGTTAGCGGCACTCGGAGGAAGAGGCCGGCTCGCCGTTAGCTGCTAAGCCGCGTTGGACTGTGGCAAAGCTCAACATTGCGGGAAGGGAAGGTGCTCCCTCTTTTATGTTGGGGGGCATGTGTGTGTCTATATAATAAATATGATGTTGTACACACACGTGTATGTAGACGTACATAAACCAAATGGCTATTAAGTATTACAATCATATACAAATATAATCACTCAACATATAATATGTAAGTATAATCATAAATGCTTAATGTTTAATTATTCTTGTAATACATACTTTATACACATAAACATATTACATAAAATGCATGTATTTTCACCTATAAATATTTCAATTATTTGCAATAATTCTATTTTACATTATAGTATAATCATTATTTACATTGTATATGTGTGCACACATAGACATATCAAAGTGAGGCTGTTCTTGTTTTTTGCAGCCCTGGCGCTCTGACAGCTCCCCAGCCTCGCACCGAGCCCCAGGGCCAACCTGGCAGGGTGGGTACTTGCCCCCCGAGCCCCTTGCTGAGCGTGCCTGTGGTGGACTCGCCCCATGTTGGCTGCGTGACACAGACGCTCCACGACTCAGAAGTCTGAAAGCTACTTCATATGGCAACAGCCATGTTTTGTTTCTTTAATTATTTATTTTTAATAGGCACTTGATGGGGGGGATGAGGAAGGGAGAGTTTAAACAGAGTTTGCAAGGTTATTCCTTGCCTGAGGCTGAGCCATGTGCAATCGTCGTGTCTAACTTGGATTTTTCCGTTTGTCTTTGGGCTCCCGTTGCTGAGCCGGGGTGACCTTGGCAGCGCTGGCTGCAGCGGCTCTCCCTAGGCCACGCTGGTCCTCCGGCCCCAACCCATCGCTGCCAAAGTGGCACTGAGGACTCCAGCCTGGGCAGAAAATGGCGCTGCCTGGCCAGCAAGGCACAGTGCCCAGCCCCACGCACCCCAGCGGATGAGCGGCTTGGTTATGGGGTAGGCATCTAATCGCAGCCACAATTGCTTGGGTGCCTCTGCCCCTTTTGGCAGGGTCGGTGCACTTATTGCAGCAGGGACACCCCAGTGCTCTCACCCGGCTGCCTTGGCAGCCACCAGCACCTCCAGCTTTGCCATGGGATGTCCCCTCCTTGTCCCCCAGCCCAGCTGCAACCAGCACTCCCCGGGTGTGGGAGTTCAGTGTGGGGCCGTGGCGGGTAATGGCCATGCTTATCTCTGGGCACCAGCCCTGCAGGGGAGGTTTGTTTCCCTGCAGAAATACCAAGTTGGAGGTTTTTTTGGCAGTGTAAGGGTTGTATTTAAGGACACCAAAAGAAATCCATGCACAGGTGGAAATGCCCCTGCTGCCCTTGGGGTTATCCCTTTGCTCTTTCTCCAGGTGACAGCAGCTGTGCTCATTCCTGGTGGGATGGTTGGTCCTGTCTTCACCTTGTTGGTCACAGGACTGCTCGAGAAGAGTCTTCACCTCTGCTCGTCATCAAACCTTGGCCAAAACTCAGCGCAGCACACGGTATGCGGCCCCGCAGGGCAGCTGCACCAAAGCCTCATTGCCACTGAGGAGCAGGGCTGTGTTTTCGTCCCGTTCAGGGTCCCAGCGGTGCATTCATGCCCTTCATCACCAGACCACCATCTCGCTCCTGGAAACACTCCCCACTCACAGCAGGGTGCTGGGGCAGGGCCGAGGGGATGACACCCTGCTCCATCCTCCTGGGGGGCAGTCCCCAGGAATCTCCTTGCTTTTCAAGCCTTTGTTGCACATCAGGCACTACCACATTCCCTGTCCCAAGTAGAGGAGAAAACTAAATCCAATTACACTTTAGAGGTGGCCTAGATTACCTTGATATTTTCTCCTCTGAAAAGAAAAAGGGATGCAGCGAGACAGCTAAAAATATAACCGAACCCCAACTAGGAGCCCTTCAGAGAAATGGTTCCCAGCACCCGAAGTCTTACAGGAAATGAAAATGCTTGTAGTTGGGATCACCAGTCACACGGTGTCCTCGTAACTCCGTTTTGCTCCAGTCCTGCAGCGTTTTTCGGTGCGAGCGGGGAGGGGTCGGGCCGTGCCTGCCGGCGGGGCCGGGGCTGCCCAGCGCC